AAATTTAAAGTATGAATAGTGATTTTTAAAGGGGTTTTCACGGGCTATAAGCTGGTGATAAAAAAAAGTTGTTTTCTTTTAGTTTTACCTTGAAATTCAAGGTCAAATTCTTAATTTCAATATATCTCAAAATCGATGTTTTTTATTTTTTTCTAACCTATCCCAATCGAAAGCTTACCTTTTTTCCTATGAGCCATGTAAAAATCAGAGTGGGACCATGGAAATTTTTAAAGAAATTAATTATAAATCATCATTTTCTATGTAAAATAATGATAAATTATTATTTTACTTAAAAATTTCCATGGTCTTTCTTTATGACTTGTTAAAACCATAATTGTAACTACATTTCACTTTCTCTTAATAAAATATAACATTATTTAAATCCATAGTTGTAATTCATGAAACCTATATTCATTATTTATTAAACCAATTTGTTGTTTATAGAATTGTTTATAGAACTCATAGTTTATCAAAAATAAATCACACTTAAGACGGGAATAAGACTAATTTTAATATTTAAAAAATAAAACTGTTCCGTCTTGAAAAGATAAAGTGAGCGGGTTTACCCTGGAAAATTGTAATCTCCAAATTCAGTATATGAGTATTAAAAAGTTTCTTTAAGTAAAACTAAAAAAGATAAATCAAAAAATCTTTCTTATTTTTTTAGTAGAAATCATAAGCTTTGAAATGATATAAATTAACTTGTATTTAGAGAATAATTTCCTAGATTTTTACCGATCTGAAAAAAAGTGAGCGGGTTTACCCCAGTCTCCCCTACATATTAAAATCGTGAAAATAAGCAAAGGGCCAATTTTAATTGCTAATTTTTTCACATTTGTGAAGAAAAAAGGAAGAAAGTGATAAGAAAAATTATTATATTTCATAAGGTTTTATTCAATTTAATGATTTCTCTTTTTCACATTTAGTGAATGAAATTTTCAAAATTAGGTTATTTACCAAGTGAACTTTAAAATCATTTTTCATTTAATATTTCTTATTAATAATTGTTTATATCAATTTATAATACTAAACTGATTCATTCTTTATAAATTCTAATAATATTTTTACGTTTTCATAGTAAATTTTTTGTTTTCTTTATTATTTTCTCATAGATGAAAAAGTGACAATTTTTACGGCTTCATATACTTTAGATGCTTATTTTACAATAAATATAAAAAATATGTAAAAAATTCTTTTTGTTCAGTGATTCTAATGTCTTTAAAATCATTCCTGCAAAATATTATAATTTTTTAAAATTAGCCGGTAACGACTTTAGTCGAAATATAATGGAATGACTCATATATATTATTTTCTTTATTCTCTGTTAATTTAAAAAAATATTTCTTAATTATAATGAAAAAAAATGGTTTATCTAGAAAATGATGTATCTATATTATATTAAATATTATTTAATCCTAATGTGTAGAATATTCTTTTGTTCAATTTATTCGTGTAAAATTGTGTAACTTTATGCTTATAATATATGATGAGTTTTTTGTATTTAGACAGAATTTTCTATTTTTCACTGACACTAAAGAATATTTTGCTTCACTCTAAAAATGATTAGATATCTACATAAAAAATGTCTCTAATATATTATTTGTAATTATCTTTACTTGTTTAATTATTCCGAGTTATTCGAAACATAAATATTTTTTAGGTAAATATTGAATATTTTATTTTATCCTTATATTTTTAATACGAATTAAAATTTTTAAGAATTTCAAATTTTAAACCTGTTGAAATTCATTAATTTATAACAATTGCTTCTGTAATTTTTTCAAAATTATTTTCAAGATCTAACTTCTTTAGAATTTTTAATTATTAAATAAAATTTAAATTATTTAAAACTCAAATTTTTGAAATTATCGTATATGTCCTAGTTTCAGTAAAAGGAATTGTTGTATGAAAACGAGGAAGCAACGAAGTCTATAGTCTATCAAAAGCTCTATGTAATATTATTAAAGGGTCGTCTTGCAGCCTACTTCTATTTTTACTATCGATTTTTCTCTCATTGTCAGTAAAATTCTAAATAGAATCTATTAATATTTGAAGAAATTAGACGAAATTTTTATTAATTTTTTAATTGTAGAAGAAAAATAAAAAAGAAGTTACAATTTCTAATTACTGAAAGAAGTTCATATAATTCAAAATACTGAAAGACGGAAAAAGGCTCAAAGAAGAAATGTTGACCTGCTTTCTTTTATCCGGTTTCTCTTCCCTTTTGTTGGAAGTAAATTTGTTTATATTACACCCGACGTTTACAATCACCCTACTTCATTCTTACAGTCATTTTCTTCTTTTCAGATAGGGAGTTTAATTTTGAGAAACACAAACATACCACAATTAAGGGCAGGCGAAATAGGACTCTAGGTAATGTTGACAGATGATGTCGAAGACTACTCCTAATTAACTGTAGAATCAATATTTGAGAAAGTTTTTTATTAAGGTTACCAATGGCTATCTTCACCGGTGTTACGTGGAGAGATAAATAAATTCTATTTTTAGAGTTAATTGATAAAATAGAAATTAGAATTAAATGTAAACTTAAATTTAATTTACGCGAAAGAAAACTCAATATACTAAGAATTTCGTTTCTTAATCCAATTAAAAATTATACATTCCCTGTCTTTGCGTGTACCAAAGCTGCAAGTTGTAAGGTAATTTCTATGTTTACAAACAAAAACCATTAATAATAATTAGGTTTAAATGTGTATAAGGGCTTATTTTATTACCCATAAACCACTTAAGGGGGGTACACCATTGAAAAAAGTTGTTAAAGAAAGAAAATTTTGGGTATTCTAATTAAGAATGCAAGCCTCTCTTCTTATATAGAACTGGTAAAACAACTTGTTAACGAGAGGAAGAAACTTTGGCGCACCCTGGTGACACTTATATTCTAAGTCATTTCAAGCATATACTTTGAAGCAGCGCAGGACATTTGAAAAACGAACATCAGGGTGCACAATCTGTCTGATTTTTATCACATTCTGTTTTTAATAGAGAGCTCGAATTAATTTAATTACTTGACCTTCTTTAGAATAGTAATTTCATTTGTTCTTTAAAAAATTTTTGCTATGTGTTGGTATTTGTATAATATTGATTTTAAACGTTGGTCCAATATTCGTAACCAAGAAACAACCAAGAATTATTTTAATTTTAAAGCATTGGTAAATAATAATTGGTCATTAATATTGGTCCAATCTTTGTTGCCAATGAATAACAAAGGCTTGGAAGGGGGCAGTTGCCCTCCAGTTATATATATGTTTTTATGTGTGTGTTTGCGTATAATAAAACGTAATATTTCATTCTGTACATCTCCAGGGGTACATCCCTCGTCTTAAGCTCATTCGACCAAAACTTTCAAAACACGTTTCATCACTGCAAGTTTCATAACTAGCTAATCCGCCTTATAATGGAGAGATCTGGAGAAGTTATATTGGTCGATATACTCTCGCTGCAACACTCTATTCAGGAAACACGTGCTTATTATATAACCTGGGTGGAATTATCTCTTGATATATAAAAAAATTACTTGAATGAAAAATACTTGCTACGGAAGAACCGTTATTTTCTGATTATGAAAATTTCAATAATGTCTTTGTTCATGTTATTATATTACGAGTGAATAAAAGAACTCACTGTTGTAAAAGTGAATTAAATGATTTTTAATAATGGGGAATAATTGTAATAAACCGAGTAATTGGAAAAATTACTTTTTCCTGAAAAGAATTCCTGAAAAAAATGTCCTAATGAACCTTAATATTAAACATATATTAACGTAATGTTACAAGTAATATTATTGGTTTCTTAAATTGAAATTTTTTTTAAAAGTTGAAAAGGGGAAATATAGTATAATTTGTAAAATAAAATCTTAAAGTTTTGGAAAATCAGGAATACAATTTAAAAAATGAAATTAAAAATTTACAAGATTTAATATTTTTTTAACCCTCCGTCACACACATAAGAAAAAATTACGACTTTACACACGTTTAGAGGGAATCCCTCACCACATTGTAAAATAAGCAACATTACAGCACAAACAAAGGAATCAACAAAAATTTAGTTTTAACACAAACTTACAAATATGTAGTAAATTATTCTAAATTATAAAATTAATAAAATTAATTTTCGGTCTCAAAAATAAAAATTAATTACACACGGAGAGAAAAAACAAGGCTTTTCCCCATGAAAAAATATGCATTTAACGCGTGAAAATTATCACAGTAAAAATGCAGGACGCTCACGGGTTTTCCCGGTGAGATTCTTGCAACGAGCTAAGGCCAATAGGGGCTAAGGCATGGCCTAACCGCTAAACGCAAGAAATTCATCGGGAAATCCGGTGAAACTCCTACCTGAAAAAGGCATGAATTGAAGTCACAGGGAAAAGCCTTGTTTTTTCTCTCTGTGCACGAATGCACATCTTCGAAGGAATTATATATTCCACTTGATATTTAAAAATAATGTAACATTAACAAATAAACAAAAAAATCATTAAACAATTCATTTTAATTATATTTATAATATAATTTTGTCATTAACCAACAGTGGAACAAAAAATGTTTTGAAAACTTGATTTTTTTATTTAACATAACCTCACTTTTTCGAGTTTTTTCTGGCTTTGAAGCTTCATAATTAAATATTAATTATGTTTAAACTAAATGTTTTTTTAGAAATGTTTTGAGGAGTAAATTGTCGAAAGGTATAGAAACTGATTTTATTTTGTAATGAGGATAACGAAAGTTATTTAAAAAATACTGAAAGCGTAGAGGGAATCCCTCCCTAGGTGTGTGACGGAGGGTTAAATAGCAGATGACAAATGACAAATTTTTGTATTAACTGGACTAGTGGTCCAATATTTTTCATTCTTTGAAAGGATAGAAATTGTTTCACAAAAGTTCAAAAAGCTTCCGTTTCAAAGAAGTCAATAGAAGGAAATTATTTTTTTAAATTGATTCTGGATTGAAAAAAATAAATTATAAAAATGTTAAGTGACTTACCTTTACTTGTTCCGTCAGGTCCACGAAGGATGGTACACTCCTCTATAGTACCAAAGGCAGAAAATAACTGTCGGACATCGTCTTCTGTTTGTTGCTTGCTGAGCATACCCACGAACAGCTTTCTGTCTGCAGAGTCGACGACCATGTTGAAAGAACAAAGAAAAATGTATTGTTAGATAATTCATGAATTCAAAAATGAAAGCCATTTCTAGAAAATAGTTTGGCAACTAACATCAAAAACGACAAAGTAGCACGGTACACCATAGCATCAACCATCCTGAGGGTAAGGAAGGAGAGTAAGTAATACACAAGTGTGTTGATAAATAATAATAATAGTAATGATAATAATAATATAAATATGCACGTATGCATCACTTGAGATGCATACAATACTTCCTAATAATTATACGGTTAAATGTACATCTAACATCGTGGGGCATTGTGTGTTGTGACAACAATAATAAGGATAATGATACTAATAAGAATGACGAACAATAATAATAAAAATTGAAAATATTACAATTACAATAATAAATGATTAATGAATTTCAACATAAACCAAATAGCACGTAATGTTACAGTAATATTACAGTTATATTAAAATATCCACCAGGTGGTAATATTACACGGTTAAGTAAATAAAAATTGCAATAAAATACTGTAATATTACGATAACATTCCCGGTAATATCACCATCAGGAGGACATTTTAATATTACAGTAATATTACGTGTTACTTAGGACGCACCATAAGCTGAAGAAATAAGTGGAACGCGATTGAAAATAATCCAGGACATAAATGCTCAAAACAAATTTCTTCTGGACGAAACTTTTTTTAGAACATTTTCATCCTCCAAAAAACTTTGCTTTTTCAGGTCACTTTTTCAGAGTTTAGCTTGTACAGCAAAACAATGCTTACAGCATTGCAGCTATTTCTAATATAAAATAGACTACCAGCACGAATTGTACGAACGCTACTTTTATGATGACTATTACAGTGAAAACTGTCGGAATGCAACTCGATTTTTAAATTCTATTACAATAAACAATCCTTAAAAAATTGTTTTATAATTTAATTTTGTAATATTTTTACAATATTCTCGAACAATATGAAAATAATAATTTTCGTTGGTCATTTTTGAATATAAAAAAATTATAAAATAAAGTTATAAAGATATACAGAAATTAGACAAATGTGATAGAAATATTGACATTTCCTTGTAGCTAAGGTGTCATAATCTGCAGTATTTTATCAGTTTATAAAAATGAAAAAGAAAAAATTTTAGTATTATTTGTTTTAAGTTTAAAGTTCTATAATAGTCATAAAAAAGTAGAGGTCTTACAATTATCGCCGGTAGCGTAGATTTAAAATAAAACAGGGAAGTTTCATGTCAACCGGGTCCAGAGCTCCTTTCAAAATCATAGTCAACGAAAATAAACTTATTACGACTCAAAATAATATCGTCTACTCATACTGTTTCGAATAAAAAGTGGGGAATTCAGAAATTCAAAATGACTTCCTCACTCTTATGTTTTTGGGGTCGCTGATGACGAATCTGAACTCAGATTTTCAAAATTTAAATTGCGAATCCAATATAGCGACTAAAATTTTGAAAAAGTATCAAATTTATTTTAAACTTGTTACTCGGGAGTTTCTTTAAGTTTGATATGTAATTATATACATTTGTAAAAGTCCCTATGCTGTATAGAGCTGCTAAAAAATTCAATGACGTGCGACTCTCCTCCGTGCGCAGGAAATTAACGTACATTAGTAAAAATTTTGACAGGGCATCCCCAAACCGGGGTGAAATAATAATACCGACCGGCGCACCGGAACAAAGCCTGATTTGCCGATTTCTCCTAAATTGAATTTTAAAAAACTGACCTTGACTCTAAAAACCTCAGATAATAGTGATCAGGGACCTTAAACTCGTACAGCACGAGATATTCTATGGATATCCACACTACGTCCCAGTTATATCTATAGATATATGTGATGTCAGAACGATATCTTACAAATATCCTAGAAGAAGGAACTTTCTATTTCTTGAGAATGTCTGGGGGATGTTTCTGGATATTTGTAGGATGTGCTGAGGATATTGGTGGAATATAGCATTTAAGATCCCACTAACATCCCTCAGATATGTTTGGATATTAAAGGTTTACTTTAAATTTACTAATCTGAATTTCAATAAACTAACCTCAAATATTTGTCAAAACAACTTATCAAACAAATTTATGTCATGAGAATAATGTCAGAGTGTTCCTACACAGCACCAAAAATTTCCTGAATGTTGACATTAACTTGACTGCAACCTCCAGAAGCTCATGAAAATTGAAGTTGTTTTTTTAAATGTTTATTGTTATTCAATGGTTAAAGTAAAAATTGACTGAACATTGCATGAGAGTTCAAGAAATTTTAAACATTCATATAATGTTCAGTTAACTTTTGCGTCGAACAATGAAAGCAGTCGAACGAGTTTTTCCCTGCACACAGGCACTTTTTACAACATCTGACAACGTACAATCGTCACGAATGTTTTTAATTTTCTGAATTCAAAAAATTTTGTTAATCCATGCAGAAACGCCGTTGCAGGATTGAAAATATAAAAGTATTGTAATAACAGGCGACAAGACGTATGTTACAGCCATTTTTCCATTAGAGGGCAGAAGCATGCAGCGAGCGTAAAGGCTCAGCTGTCAAAATGATTCGCATTACATTGCTATGGTCATTCCAATTTTGCAATCGCGTTTCTTCATAGATTAACAAAATCTTTTGAATTCAGACAGACAAATGTGATAGAAAATGTATGTTTACCAATTTCACGTCATTTAAACAGGTGTTAATTGCACATTGTCGAGAAATTTAAGAGACCATCGAACACCGTTAAGGCAACGTGGAATCAGTCAGCTTCAATGAGTAAGTGTAATAATTCCCACACGGGGTTTCTGAAAGAATACAAAATAATTTTCAAAACTATTTTATAAATGTTATTGCTGACATGGAAACGCATTGATGCATTACGAGGTTTGGTCAAAAATTTAATCTTAAATGTTATTTTAATGAAATGAAAAGTTTGACATTTGTCGAGCGGTAAAATGACAAACGCAATAATTTTTCAAATAGAAATAGATGTACTTTGACAATTTATTTATGATTAATTTGTTAATTATTGATTTCTGCATCACATGTATAGACAAAGAGTCGTTCGTTTCTGAAGTGGAATTAAAATTCTTCCGGTAATTCGATAATACCATGTTGAAAACAAGAGTATGATTAAAAATGCTGTACAGGGGAATGAAATTTCAATATTTTGTGTTTTTGAGAGTCAAATAAATTCCTCATAATATAATCATTTTACGACAAAAAGAAATTTCGAAAAAAATGATTTTGCTTAAACGACAAGTAGCGCTGCACAACAATCAATAGCGAAACTATCAACAGTTTTTCAGTGTACTATAACTTATACTAAATTTTGCGCCTACAGAACGACTTGAAAATTAGGAGTACTCGCATTTGCCTATAAACCACCCGTCTAATGGGTTTCCTCGACAATATCAATATTAAATCAATATTAATATTAAATATGCTTTATTTAGGCCATAAACTCTTTTGACCACTTACCACGATTCGTTTTCCTATTTTATAATTACGAGCCATTGTCTACAACGAGAAAATTAATAAAATAGATGTAGATGTCAACTTTTTGTTTTAGATAAGTTAGTTTTCATAATATTTATTATTTATTTATTTGGTTTATACACCCGTCTTCAGCTTATCTAGCTATACAAGTGTGTTTACATTTCTCTTACAATATTTCTTATAAATATACATTTCTTAATACTAAATTTTGCGCCTACAGAACGACTTGAAAATTAGGAGTACTCGCATACGCCTGGACCACCCGTCAATTGGTTTTCTCGCCAGAGAAGAGGGAAACTGTAGAAAACCTCTCTTGAGTACAACCGGTTTATCGACAGTCGAGTTCTAATGGAGTGTACCGGACAATAATCGACGGTGCACATCATTATACCTCGACGTCAAACCTCCCGCTCAGATTGTCTCACGTGCCGGAAAAATACCAAGCCAAATGGGCGCGAACCAAGGGTACTTACCCTTGGTCCTTAAACGACCGCCAAGCGAAGCATCTATCCGACTGAGCTAATCTGTCGGTTTAGTTTTTATAATAAAAACATATAAGAAGCGAGAAAAATTGAATTTTTTATTAAAACTAGATAATTCACTTTGAGGTGAGACGAAATACATGGTAATCGGGGGGATTATCTTGTACACCCATTGAGGGATCATCTTGCCTCAAATTCTATTTTGTAATTTGTTCGTAACTTAACCTACGAGCTCTGTTATTCCATAATACCAATCAGAACACATAATTGAAGGTATATTGAAGCTGTAAGTACAAGAAACATGGAATTTCAGCTACTACAACAAAAGTTATCTAAGCCCAAAGTTAAGCTTTCCTTAGATCAAAAGTATGAAATTTTTATTTTTTCCAATAGAATTTTTTTAATGCCGCGTGTTGTCATGACAGTTTGACTGATTCATAGGTATGTCATTGGGAACGTATTACCGTATTTACCTAAAAGGTGGCGCTAATAGGCTCTCCAAAATTCAAAAGGATCATATTGCCCCAGGAGATCATCTCGTACATCTTTCCCCTATAATTATTACAGATCTAATAAATAATCAACAAATAAAATGTTTTTGCACAAAATTTACTGAATTCGTTTACACACGAATTCAGTCACGGGTCTGGTATATGAGCTGTTATAAGTTTTTACAGTGATCACTCGAACTAGTCGATCTGGGCCACTGTGCGCCTGAAGAATGCGTCCGAGAGGCTAACGTCCGTATGGTCCAATTAGTGAAGGATCGTTGACTGTCACCATGTCCCCAATCTTTAAATTTTGACTTGATGTTGTCCATTTGGCTCTTTGTTGCAGAGTATTGAGATAATCTAGTGACCACCATCGCCAGAATCGATCACGGGCACTACGCATGAGCTTCCAATGGGTCATCTTTTCCAGATCTTTGTCTGATATTGGCTGAGGGATTCCAGTTAATATCTCCAGATCATCTAGCTCTCCGGACAGCGGTATAAAGTTCCA